AGGCTGCGCCGACCTTGAGCCCCCGGGCTGCCCGGGGGGCGCAGCCGCCGCCAGGACAAATATTTGTCGACTTCGGGCACAAAGCGCAGTGCCGAGCAGCGGGAAAAGGGCTAAGCGTGCCGTGGCACTGAACTGCTGCTCACGCGGCACTGCGAATGGAGGAAAACAAGTATTTCACCATTTCTGTGCCATCGGGCTTTTCTGCTACGAGTATCCAGTAACCGGTGTCTCACAAAAGATGTGCCTTTAGGGACGGACAAAATAGTATTTCAGCTCACAACAGCAATGCGTACGAAAGCTACAGCGAAACACACCACCGTTCAGGCCCTCTCAAAGGCAGTGCCTACAGCATCTCGCAACGGCCGCTCGCCGAGAGGCTCGTGGCCCACTGGTTGCTACCGAGTCTCGCCGCGTGTTTGAAAAGCAAACTCGTTAGGAGAAACTTCATAATAGCCGCAGTGCTATCTTATTTATAATACAGCGTTTTGCCATTTCAGAAAAAAATGTGAAATGTTTTTTGTTTCATTCCACAAGTAACCAGCTTTTAATACTGGTGCTCAACTTCACTAGAGAGCAGGGAAGAAAACATTTTATTCGCCAGATGCTGCAAGGACTTCCTTGCTCCTACACAGACCCCTCTGCCAAGGGAGTTTGGAAAACCAGGGCCTCCGCTGCGTTTCGGTGTGGTACCAGGGACGCAGGTGCCGAGGACACCGCTCCCCAGCAGCGCCGCAGGCAAACGCCGCAGGCGATCTTGCTCACTAAGTAAATTCCTTGAACCGATGTTGAAAGCGGTATCTGCTCCTTATTAGCAACAACTGAAAGATTTGCCAGGTGCCTCCGAATAAGCTACTCCGCTCACTACCCCAATCTTCCTCCTGCTGCCTCGTGGAAATGCCCAATTTCACTTTTGACAGAAGACTGGTAAAGGGTGTTTTAACATACATACAACCTGACAGGGCAGCGTGCGCGGGGCACCGGAATTTTAGGCTCACGTTCCTGCTGGTACCTCACCACCGCTGCCTCCGCGCGAAAGGGCCGAGGGCAGGCTCGGGCAGCGGAGGAAGCCCTGTCAGACCCCCCCTCACCCTCCCGC